GCTGCTAGGGTTAAAACTTAGTAGCCTTAACACTTTGCGATAGTATCACTATACGGCATATAAATATTAAGCAGAAGGTAATCGGGTGGGGGGTTACATGACAGACAACTTCCAAAGACAAACAGCAAAATATGTAGATTGTTGCGATTGCAAAAGCAGGCGACTCACGTCTTTAGAGTCTGTATAACACTGCCAGCAGTAAAGGCGTCCAGGCCCGTTGTGGGTTCGTCGAGGAAGAGGACGGAAGGGTCGGCAATGATTTCCATGCCTATGCTGGTTCGTTTGCGTTCACCGCCAGAAACTCCTCGGACCAACTCCGTGCCAATCTGAAAAATAAGGGGCGTATATGGTCCATAAGACACAACAGACAAATTCTATTTATTTACTCTGTAGGCGAAGAAGGATTCAGGAAATCGTCTTTGTAAGTGTTACACTTCTTCCTTTTAACATTTCGCTGTTTAAAATGTTATAGATTTGAACGCATCGAATTCCTAGTAGATTTTCCTGATGCTATGAGACTTGTCATTAACCAACCAGTCGTTTATGCAAGAATATCGAGCAGTTGAACAACAGTCACTGGTGGCTAAGCAACTGCCTGTGCGTGCTTCAGATAAGTTAAGGCGCAAAATTAAACTATTTCCACCCGCTTTTCAACCAGGCCGGCCCATTTAACACCGCTAGCACGTGATTTGGAACACCGTTGGTCAAATATAGTCTCTATCGCATTCATGGGTGCATAGGGAAACATTGGTAGGTTCTACCGACCTATTTTCTGCCTCGTGACACCAAGTGCGTTACTGGAAACAATAAAACACTGACGGTACCCACCTGCTAGCCTGACCAGTTTTTGTGTTTGCCAAGCGGAGTCCATGATTTATCTATCCACGCCCAATGCCGTGGACGGAGTGAAATAGTAGTTAGATCAGAAGGGAGGGCAACAGCAAGCATACCTCCCACTTAAGCTTCTCCGCATAGGTATATGCAGGAGAATTTATGTTAAATGGAAAACGCATTGGTTTGACTCAACACAACTAATAGCGTGCCACAGTGATTCCCTCTTGGCCAGAAATACAGGGTGTCCCAAAAAAATGTATACACATTTTACATAATTGTAAACTTGCTGTTTATTATAACTTTATTATTTCAAAAACGCAAAAATAGTTAAAAGTATCCTTTTATTGTGTTTTTCACTGCATTTTGACTGTGTGGTATGTGCGCTTCCACTGTTTCGCGTTGTCAGCAGTGTCGTGATCAAAATGAACGTCAGTTTGAGAACATTCAGTGATAAAAACAATAAAATGGTACTTACAAATATCTTTACATTTACTTAACGATAAAATTATGATAAACACCAATTTTACAAATAGCTAAAATATGTATAACTTTTTTTGGGACACCCTGTATAAGAGATAATCCTACAGACGTAGATGAGGCGGGGGTGTGTTCGTTAGTAAACAGCGCAGTATAAGTCAAAAGAACTAAAAAAAATGCGAAGCCTATGGCTTATGAAGGCATAAAGCAAGTGAACGGAACACGGACTTGAATGGTTTTCATCGCTTTCAAAGACACTTTCTGCAAAAGACCGGAAAGCTCCCTCTAGAGCATACGCAAATACCTTTCTGAGGTGGCTGAAGGAACTTGAACATGGGGCCAAGTTAAATTATCCGTTAATATCTAATCGAGTCATGATTTACCTTTTGGTTTTATGATTGAAGCCATGTTCTTAGATGCGTTCGTTGCTTTCAGGATCGGTCTTAGACTATATAGAAATTATCTGACGGTTCCAGTCCTGATGATAATGACAATAGGATTAATTAATAGCCTTTTCAGAAACATTGGTACAGGGGGGGGGAATTTTCAGACATTGAAAAAGCATAACTCAGACGTTAATTTCCTACCAACATGTCACCGACCACATCGAGAGGCCAGCGCGCCTGACTGCTTGTCCAGGTACGTATTACGCGACGTGCTAGAAGTGAAACGATGTTCGGCGAAAGCTGACAAAGAAATTGTCCCGTGGACCGGACAAATAGACAGTGCTAATGTAACCACACACGCATCTGATGAATTTTTACCTGTACATTGCCGCAAACTAGCAATAGTATCCTACACAGTGAATATCATCTGCCATCAAATTAGAAACCATTTAGGGGGAAGGGGGCGGGCGTCTCGAAATAGCGT